GATAGATAGATAGATAGATAGATAGATAGATAGATAGATAGATAGATAGATAGATAGATGATAGAATTAATTCTTTATTGGCCAAGTGTGTTTGGCCACACAAGGAATTTGTCTTGATGCATGTGCTCTCAGTGTACATAAAAGACAGGATACATTCATCAAGAGCCAAGAATCATAAGGTACAACACTTAATAATAGTCATAGGGTACAATAAGTAATTAAATCATACTAGGAAACAGTCAATAAAAATTGTTAGGAAACAAGCAACAAGGTTACAGTCAAATAGTCATAAGTGGGAAAAGATGGATGAAGGGAAGGATGGAAGTATTAATAGTAATAGTAATGCAGACTTAGTAAATAGTTTGACAATGTTGAGGGAATTATTTGTTTAGCAGAGTGATGGCTTTCAGGAAAAAACTGTCCTTGTGTCTAGTTGTTCTGGTGTGCAGTGCTCTACAGCATCATTTTGAGTGTAGGAGTTGAAACAGTTTATGTCCAGGATGTGAGGGGTCTGTAAATATTTTCACATCCCTCTTTTTGACTTTTTGACTTGGCAGTATACAGGTCCTTGATTGAAGGCAGATTAGTAGTAATTGTTTTTTTTTTCTGCAGTCCTAATTACTCTATGAAGTCAGTGTGTGTCTTGTTGGGCTGCAGAACCAAACCACACAGTTGTAGAGGTGCAGATGACAGACTCAATAATTCATCTGTAGAACTGGACCAGCAGCTCCTTGAGCAGTTTGAACTTTCTGAGTTAGCACAGAAAGAACATTCTTTGAATATGTTAAAGCATAAAATTCCAGCCACTTTGGTTGATATGGTTTTGAATGGCATATTTGGTACTGGTTCCCCAGCAGAATGTACTGCTAGGCTGGCACAAAACTTTTCTTGATATATTGCATAATCCAGAACCCCATTTTTTGTCCTTTGTTATGCATTCTGATAGTAAATATTCCCAGCTGTTCTACACATGACAATCCATGAGAATAACTGAATTAATTCTCTTCTCAACATGGATAATAAAATCTGTAGTTTCAGCTCAAGACCCATCTCAGCAGAAGCACTTGGTGAAAATATTAGAATTTGAAAAGGCAATGTGATTCACTTTACAGAGAGAAGTGTGGATGGATCTATTCTCAAGAATTATAATAAATTCTTCTAACTGCCATGTCAGTGTTAACCAAAGTAGAATCTGTAATTCAAGAACAAGGCAGAGGATTCTAAATCATGGTTGGATTCAGAAAGCTGATTTGCAAAATAGATTCTGATAAGATCTTTTGCCCTATGCAGGCATAGTCCAGATCAAGTTAATGTCCAAGAATATTATAGCATACTACATTTTGTAGTTTAAAAAGGCGGGAAAGTGATCCTCTCATAATTTGACTCTGCTCTGGAGAATTGTAATTTAATTTGAATTAAGTATCCTTCAAATTCAAATTAGGAAATGATATCAGTATGCTTTTGCACTATACATCCAAGATGGACCGATTCAAAACCTGATTTTAAAAGGATCACAGCAAGTGGAAGTCTCAGTTTGGGATCAGTAACCTGTGCAAAACAATATATCTCTGGATAAACTGATTAAAATAGGACAAGCTCCAAGCAATACTATAAATACTATGAAACTTACTTATTTTTTGATTTTCAAAAGTTAGCAGTTTTAGACATTTAGATTCATTTAATAACTTCATAGATTTAATATTTATAATTTTATGTTTTATTCATTTCAAATTTCTATTCTATTTTATCTTGTGTGTCAGGTACTGACTGAATTAAAATAACTTCCTCTCCTGTTGATATTACTCCTGTAATACTAATTTCTGAAGACATCCATCAGGTCAGGGTAGACATTTGCAAAAAGGAAGTCCAACATCCGATAGTGTTCTTAATTTAATCAAGCACTAATCCAGCAAGTCTGATCATTCTTGCAATAACCAATCACATAACTGAGTCAAAAAACATCCATTGGGGAAACACAAAGTCCACACCTACTTCCTTTATTAGGAAGTATTTAGTAATCCATAAATCCTTCAGTGAGGAGAAGACTAACAAGCCATGACTAGCCTTTGCCCAGTAATAACAGATATGACATAATACTAAGCTGGCAGGAATGGGCTAATAACCAAGAAGATAGGCTCAAGATCCAGATGGATCTTGACAGATTAGAACACTGGGCCGTATCTAACAAGATGAAATTCAATGTAGAGAAAAGTAAAGTCCTACACTTAAGCAAGAAAAACCAAAAGTACACATATAGACTAGGTGAAACCAGGCTCAATAGAAATAACTGTGAGAGAGATCTTGGAGTCTTGGTGGACAACCAGCTAAATATGATCCAGCAGTGTGCAGCAGCAGCAGCAGCAGCCAAAAAAGCTAATTAACAGAGGGATACAATCGAGATCAAGTGAGGTACTAATACCATTCTATAAAGCTTTAGTAAGACCACACCTAGAGAACTGCATCCAGTTTTGTTCACCACATGACAAAAAAAGATGTTGAATCTCTAGAAAAAGTACAGAGAAGAGCAACCAGGATGGTTAGGGGACTGGAAAGTAAAACGTATGAAAAATGGTTATAGGAACTGGGCTTGGCTAGTTTAGTGAAGAGAAGGACCAGGGGAGACATGAGAGTAGTCTTCCAATATTTGAGGGGCTGCCACAGAGAGGAAGGGGTCAAGCTGTTTTCTAGGCCAGACAAGGAATAACGGTTGGAAACTGAACAAGGAGAGATTTAACCTGGAAATAAAGAGAAACTTTCTGACAGTGAGAACAATCAACTAATGGAACAGCTTGCTCTTGGAAGTTGTGGGAGTGCCATTACTTGAGACTTTCAAGAAGAGATTGGACTGCCATTTGTCAGAAATTGTGTAGGGTCTCCCACTTGGGGGTGGGGCTGGACTAGATGGCCTACAAGATACCTTCCAACTCTGATTATCTGTTATCTGACTTGATCCCTGTAGTAAACCAGTAATTGGAAGCATATTTTGTGCTGATAGACTATGGAGTGAGTTACACCAAGGCTGGAGCTGGCCTTGATGTCTTATCATGTTTGGGGACCATTGAAATTTGGATGGCATAAAATAGATTAACATCTAACCCAAGCAAAACAGAACTATTGCTGTTTGTATATTAAATCATAGTCCTCTTGAGAAAGATTTGCTTTTTAAGCTGGTGTTTTTCCGCAGTCCTTTTTGTCAGATCATTAGGTATGAAAAATAGGCCAGCTAACTAGATTAGTTATTTCCATAACATAACTGACTTTGTTAGTTATTTTAACCCCTGTATATCTTTGAATCCTTTTAAGATGAATTCAGTTACCTGAATGCTTGCTAACTGACTGGATCAACTGACTGTTTTGGTTTTCCTGTACCATATTATCTCTTCACTGACCCAAATACATCTACTATGGAAACCATACAGCTGAACAGAAATATTTTTCTTCTTAAAGAAAGTCATGGTTTATTAATGGCTGAACAGGACTACTGTTATCTGATAAACTATAGTATCAACACTTGGTTCAGAAAGCTTAATTGAAATATAGGAGTGTCTTCATTCTCTCTTTCTCGGTTTGGTCCTTTCTTTCTTTCAGCCAAGTATCAAAATTATCCATTCACACCTAAGCATTTTACCAATCGTTTCCCATATTTCAGTGAAAGATCCCTTTTCAGGGTTAAATTTATGTTTTACCAGCAAAGAAAGCAACTGCCTGGAAAGGCTTCTGGATTGGGGCTGAAAGGCGAAAATGGAGGAAGAATGCTCTGTCCCATAATTGGGTAGACCAGATGCCCTGATAGACCGGTCCCACCGGAAAAAACCTTCATCCCTTTTCAGTATTTATAAAGTAGCGTTATTTATTCATTTATTTACAAAAGCAAGGTTTTTTTTAAAGAAAATACTCTGGTGGAATATTTATGCATTTGCTTCTTAATTGAATTTACACAGCTGCCCATTTCACCAAAAGCAGTTCTGGGTGGTCTGCAACAATCTGATAAAAACAGGAAATGTAAAAACAACAGTTATAAAAAACAAAAATGCAAATGAATAGAGAGCATAAAAGCTAAATATTCAAATCACAGGTGAAGGGAGGCTAAAAATGTTTATCCCAGCAATGGAGCCTTCTAAGAAAGTCCCTGGTTGCCTGGGAATCCCAAGCCTGATAACATAACCAAGTCTTGAGGACTTTTTGGAGTTTCAAGAACAGGTTAGAGCTGATCTAATTTGGGGTGGAAGAAGGTTCCATGAGGTATGTACCATGGCAGAGAAGGCACATCTTCTGAGGCCCATCAAATGTAGGCCCATAGCTGCAGCCTGCCTTTTCTGCCAATTTTTTAACAGTGGGAGTAATCAAACAATTGAATGACTTGCCATCAGAAGTTGTGGATGTTCCATCACTGGAGGCTTTCAAAAAGAGACTGGACAACCATTTGTCTGAAATTGCATAGGATCTACTGCTTGAGCAGGAGGTTGGAAGACTTCCAAGTTCCCTTCCAACTCTATTATTCTATTCTGCTTATTCTACTCCACTCTACTCTACTCTACTCTACTCTACTCTACTCTGTTTGGCTTCTTCTTCTTCTTCTTCTTCTTCTTCTTTTTCTTCAGCGTTTGTCTCGCGCTTGGGCGAGGTCCGCTAATGTCCTTGAGTACTGATTCCACACCTTTCTGTCTGCCACGTGTGTCGGGTCTGCCTTCGCGATCTCTAGATCGGCCTTGATCGTGTCCATCCAGCGTTGTTTAGGTCTACCACGCGGTCTCGCTCCTCCGACAGTCACCTTCATTACAGATTTGATGATGGATTCTTCCTTGGCGCGGCTCACGTGGCCGAACCATCGTAGCCGGGACTGCCTCATGACCGTGGGGATGGGCACGACGTTGAACCGTCTACGCACTTCTTCGTTCCTGATGCGATCGAGTAGGGTGAGGCCTACCGACCATCGGAGCATTCGCATCTCCATTATCTGGAGTCTGCTTTCGACTTCTTTGGTCGTCGGCCAGCACTCTGCGCCGTATATGGCCACAGGGCGCACCACAGAGTTATAGATTTTCGTCTTCAGGCGCATCGGCATCTTCTTGTCACAGAGGACGCCCTCTGTTTGGCTGATATAACCATATATTCAATTACTAATCTACTAATATTTACATGTACCATATCATTTTCAAATCATTTCTGCCTAAGTTCCTCATTTGGAGCTGTTCAAATTATTTTCCTATTTTAGCATATATGGGATCAAACATGCTTGCGATAAACACATGTCCATCATTGAACAAGAATTAACAAATAAAAATAAATAAAATACAAAAATAATAATTTAAAACAATAATAAATTATAAAGAAAAAAAAACTCATAAACTCAATGAACTACTAGGCCATTATTTTTCTATATTTCTGTATGACGATTATCCATCTATTAGATGAGAAGCAGAAAAGAACAGAGAGCAAATTGCTCTAACTGATGTATATCTACAAAACTAATCTGATAGTTCTCTGAAACCTTGTTTTATTTTTAATCACATTGAAAAGATTGCAGAGAAGAGATGTTCTACCCTGCCAGTCGCCTAATTTTTGGGAAAAATGCAGAGCCATCAAACAGGATGGGAAATATTCATTAATAAAACTTTATGAAAAACATAGTTTTTATTCAAAGTTAGCTTCTTTTGGGGTCTTGCTGGCAGTGAAATTAATGGAGAACTGTCACTGGCAGCATTGAATACAGAATCCAAATAAGGATCGTGTACACTCTAAGTGACAAGCTTTACTGAACAATTTCCATATATCTGCTAAGAAATGCTGGCTGAAAAAAAAATCAAGTAGCATGGCATACATTATTTAAATTGCAGTGTAAAACAGTTCTTTTTTTTGCTGCTTTTTCTTTTAATTATTATTTTTGCTCTGTAAATTGTATGTCATTTTTTCCATTATTCCATGAATAATGCACGATTTGAATGGGATTATTTTCTTTCTACTGACTACAAATAGGCAGTTAATTCAGAATGAGGATGGGATGAGGATGATGGGTGAAATGTTATTGTTGCTGTACTGGATTCATGTTACATTTCATCATACAATGCAAATAACTTCAACAGCCTAAGGTAGAAAACTAATATCACCATTGTTATAATTGTTATAATGTTTTTGTTTCTCTGAGGCTTGTTATAATGCTCAAAACCATGCTATCGAATCTGAATTTAAAAAAAATCACATATATATTTATTAATTACCAGCCACGGTGGCACAGTGGTTAGAGTGTAGTACTGCAGACTACTTCTGCTGTCTGCCTGCAATTTGACAGTTCAATCTCCCCAGGCTCAAGGTTGACTAAGCCTTCCATCCTTCTGAGGTGGGTAAAATGAGGACCCAGATTGTTGGGGGCAATATGCTGACTCTGCTTAGAGAGGGCTGTAAAGCACTATAAAGTGGTATATAAGTCTAAGTATTATTGTTACTGTTATCCAATCTTTTTTTGTATGTACAACTCAAGGCAATGAACATACCTACTGTAACACTCCTTCGTCTTCCTTCTTTCCCCACAACAACCATCCTCTGAGATAAGTTGGACTGAGTGAGAGTGACTTGCCCAGTAGCCCATGGTCAACAGACCAGTTTTTCTAAGACTAAGGAGACTACAACTCACCGTCTCCTGGTTTCTAGGTCAGCCCTTAACCACTGCTGTGAATCTTACAAAAAAGAAAAAGAAACCTCCTGAATTAATGAAATATTTTGGTAAAAAGAAAAAACTATCACATTTTCACACTACTAAAAAGAATAAGACCATTTTGGAAAAAAAATACATGGATGGTGTTTAGCGTCCATTTAAATTTTATTGTAAATTACCCAGAGTCACTTAAGTGAGGTGGTGGGATGTAGAAATGAGATAGATAGATAGATAGATAGATGATAGATAGATAGATAGATAGATAGATAGATAGATAGATAGATAGATAGATAGATAATGGATGGATGGATGGACAAACAAATAAGCTATGAGTTCAACTATTTAAACAAGAAACTTGAGTATCTTTTCTTTTAATTAAAGGTCATCCTAAAACTATGGCTTACAGAACAATTTCTTTTGAATTTATTTGTTGTTTTAGTAACGTTTCTTTCTTTTTCTTTTGTAATGTTTCACTTTTCCATGGGGACGGCACTGAAAGTGTTTGTGTTCTCAAGCTTATGTTATTAAAATGTTCAAGGCAAAAGAAAAAGGGGGGTGGAGCCGAAACAGGAAAATCCAGGTTCGAGTTTGTACAGATGTTTCACCCTGGCAAGCTTTAATAGAATTGAGGTCTGCATGTCATGCTACTAAAAATACCTGATTCTCAAGTTTGACCTCAAATAGGAAGAACAATTCTGTGTTTACTTGCATTCATAAGCATAATGTATTCAGTAGATTTTCTTCTAGGTGAGTAATGCTTTAAAAGGAAAAAAAAAAATCTGCTATATATAATTCTCTTCCTCTACCTTGTTCAATCCCTTTTCTTAAGTCACCATAATTCTATATGATGAAACATTTTTGAAACACTGTTTTAAGATAAGGTTGATTTCCAGAATTCAGACTGCTGTAAATTTTGTACATTTTAGGGAAAATATAGCACCGATTTTGTGACATAAATTCATAGATCAGCGTAGATATTCAAGAAGGAAAGAACATGCAAATTAGGGTATAGATAATGCTTAAATATAGGTTGGATCCAAATATAGCCTTATTTATAAAATAGAACTGTAAAAAGCAATGGGAATTGTGTTAGTCATACCGCACATTTTCAGTGATTCTAAGTCATACGCAAATCCTTGGTTGATCTGAAACCGTGCTCTTTGCAGTCATAACTGAATAATTTCAGCTTCAAAAATGAAAATGTAATGCTTTAAAAATTTCACAAGTTTGAATAGGTTTATGTATGCATGTACAATGTGCTTATGCATTGTAAGTATGTATGAATGGTTAAATCTGACTATCTATCATCTATCTATCTATCTATCTATCTATCTATCTATCTATCTATCTATCTATCTATCTATCATCTATCTATCTATCATTATCTGTCTATCATCTGTCTGTCTGTCTATTTGTCTCTCTTTCTGTTTGTGTGTCTTCCATTGTCTCCTTAGTAAGAATAATTCTGGGAGATAGCTTGAGCTGATGGCAGGAGAGTTGAATTTGTGTCTTTCTTCTAGTCCAACCCTTTAGCTCCTCTGCCATACTTTCTCTCTCTTTTATAGTTCAATTAAATTATCTAATGACACAATTACTGCTACACTGCATCTCCTTCCACTGTTCATAGTGTATGTTTTGCAAAAGGATTTTTTTTTAATGTTCCAGTGGTGCAACATCAGTTTAACGTTTCAGCTACATTTTGTTGTTGTTACTGCACTTTAATACAGAGGAAACCCATATTGAAACATGCATGGGTCCTGTTGTATTTAATTCCAGTTTATTAAGTCTGTAACTACAGGCCATTAAATGAGACTTAAACTGTGGAAAATAAGAGATAATCAGCTTAGTTTTTAGTGGGGGAATCTCCTTCAGGTACTTGGCCCGTAAATTTAAGCTACCGTAGCAAAAAGAGCTACATAATAGGCAGATTGCAGTAGCCTAATCAGATAATTACTTTTAGAAAACAAAAAATACCATTTGATTATCAGAATTTTGCTGTCGGCATTTAGTATCTTAAGGATCTTCTCTTACAAGTACTGAATATAAGTAACTATGAGACTGGCCTAAACTTCATGCTGGTTGCCAGGAGTTGAAAATTCAATCAATCTATCTTCTGAAGAAGATCTCCGAAACTATGCTGATTTCAGGGTCCAAAAAAAGGTCAAATCGTCATTCTTGACTGTGTGATACCTCTCAACCCAGAGCAGGTATTCAGCAGGTTCTGACCAATTCTGGAGAACCAGTAGCAGAATTTCGAGTAGTTCAGAGAACTGGAAAATGCCCCCTCTGACTGGCCCCGTCCCCATCTATTCTCTGCCTCCCAAGTCCCAGCTGATCTTCTTTTGTTGCTTTGCACAGGAGAACAGAGCTGGAAAGCAGGTTAGTAGGGTGGGGAGGGAATGGGAATTTTGCAGTAATCTTCCCCCAGGAGTGGGGAGGGAATGGGGATTTTGCAGTATCCTTCCTCTGCCATGCCCACCAAGCCACGCTCACCAAACCTTGCCCACAGAACTGATAGTAAAAAATTTTTTGAATCCCACCACTGTTTCAACCTCTTTGTTATTTGTGTTGCACATGGAACTCATATAAAAGATGCTATCATATTGACTTTTTAAACACCCTCTTCCCTTACAGATTCCTTTGGATGACTCACCTCTCAACTCTAAAGTAATCTCCCCAAATCCAGTCTCTTTATTTTCCAGAATAATATATTGTATTATAGTGCATTCTTTCAAGTAGGATGGAAGGTAATGGGACAATATGTTTGGAATAAATCATTGACTATAAATTTTCACTGGACATCTATAAATGTACAGTATATGGAGAGTTATTAATAATACACATTTTTTTCTATATATTTTATATGGACTTCCCTGTAATCTTTTGTGTATAGGATACTAGAAACACATGGACACAAGGTGATACTTAATTAAAAGTATGATTGAATTCATGAACGTAAGAACAGAAGCTCTGTTGAAAGGTCCCGGGCTTTCAACAATTAATATTTGAGAAATAAAAGTAACACTTTCACAACAGCATACCTCAGATTATACAGTTAGCCTAAAGACAGAAATGGGATATTTATAAAAGGAATGACAATTATTATTATTTTTTGAGGTAAATAAAAGGCACAGAGAAAATTCAGTTTCTCTGACCTCTGACATTCTTGAGAATGTATAGATTACTTGGATGCACCAATTATTGTATTTATGATCAATTTGAAAGTAAAGTTTTTTTCTTTCTATTGTGGTTATTATAATGTTACTTTTCCCTTCTCTGATCCATGATTGGTTTGACCAAATTTTTATGGCTTTGCTCCTATTTTTCCTAGCAACAGTTTCCCTTCATCATTTAAACCTTGATAGTAAGTGAATATATAGATTCAATATATCTCTTGATGTGTTAGGCAGTAAGCATTTTAACAGTGTTGCGTTTTTCCTGTATAATCTGCTATCGTGTGTGTGTGTGTGTGCAACAAATTAGTTAATCCATCTGAGCAATGATGACATCTTCATTATTTCTGAGTTATTTATGATTGTGACCTTTGGATACTGTAAATTTATCTTTCTATGTTGATGAGCTTTCAGTGGAAATACAAATTATTTTCTCCCAACTAGAGAGATTGAATTTTATGTTTTTTGTTCAATAAATAAAACCCAGGAGTATATGAATCAACTGGGTAAATGCTGCACCACAAATAAAAGACCCTTCAAAAATCCTTTACACTGTAAGTGCGCAGCAGTGACAGAGGGCCTTGTGAGATCTGAAAAGAAGGTAAGAGCATGATTATTATACTTTTAAAACATTGCAGCTGTAATATGTGTGTTAGTTATACATTGTTAAATCCCATAATTTCAGTATTTTTACATTTCACATTCCTGGATAGTAATGATTGTCATAATTTATGGCAGCATAAACATTTATCTGGAAAAAAAATCAATAAAAATGTCTTACTCCCTAAAAAAGTATCATCCTTAACAGCTTCCAATATTATTTATTTATTTATTTGTTTCCATTTATTTATTTATTTATTTATCCTGGACAGTGGGAATCTTTTGTCATTGTGCTGTTGCCAGGGCAGGAGGTGGGGGTTGATTTTATTATATTATGTTATATAAGTTTATTTTTTTATCTTTTTTATTAATTTTATTGTTTTAAATGAGGTTTTATATTCTGTAAGCCGTCTTGAGTCACCATGTGAGAATAGGCGGCAATATAAATTCAATAAATAATAAATTTGTTTATGGTCAAGACCTAGTTAATTGTTATGACTTATTCCACTGGGGTCATATTTTTTACAGATGAAAATTGTTATTCTTGGAAATGTATGTGAACTTATTACATGGTGTGAGTTATATCTCAAAATGCTAAGTCTCTCTCTCTCTCTCTCTCTCTCTCCCTCCCTCCCTCCCTCCCTCCCTTCCTCCCTCCCTCCCTCCCTCCCCCTCTCTATTTATCTATCTATCTATCTATCTATCTATCTATCTATCTATCTATCTATCATCTATCTAATTTCTCCAGTAAATGTATATTTTAAATGCATGAAGCTTTAACTCCCAATGAAAAGGAATTTGGATAGCAGGATGG